TAAGCATCCATTTAAGGTTGAAACCTTGATGCAATTCTGCAAACCCACATGATCACCCTACTCACTGCCTCTTTCAATCACAGTGCACAGCAAACAATCAGCTTTTTTACATCAGCACTGGGATAAAACATATACTAGCATAGAACAGATAAGGGGGTCAAAAGACTTGCACAAACCCAGGGCTCATAGAAAGGATAACCTGAAATCCTGTGCCTCCCCAGGCACCAGCTGGTTACTAATGCTGTTCAAAGATCTCACCTGTTCAATTATGACTTCAGCCTTGTCCCAGAGCTCAGTGGCCAGCCTATATTGATTTGTATTTATTGCATCCATTATTTCTTTGGCAACAGCAGTCACCTCTGCTAGACCATTATCATCAAGTAGGGACTAGAAGACAAGTACAAAGGACAGCTTTAATTATATTTTTACATTCACCTCTTGCTAACAGTCTCCATGAGTTCAAGTTTTATTCCAGACAGGAGCTAACCTTAAAAATCAACATCCATGCCATTATACTATATGGCAATACAGGTAATCAGATGTGACCAAAAGCTTAAGAAGGTACTTACAGTGCTGTAAAGGTAGGGCCCCCAGGACAGAACAGAGTCTAAGGAAACAGAATATGTTTCAAACATATAATTTTTTTAACATATTATTTCCTTTACTTTTCCATTATTATAACAAGAATGATTGTGACAGAATATACAGAGATGAATTAGTCAGTAAAGAGGTGCTGTCAGCTCAGCTTAGACCAAAGGTTATGTACCACAGAGATGCTCCTTTACAAATCCTGAGAATCAATAAAAGCTCTGCAACATCATTAGCCCCCCAAACGTTAATCAGTGACATTTACTCAAAGCAACAGACATGTTCTTGCCAAAATGTTCTCACCCCAGCACTGTGGCATATTGCTAGAACTTAAGAGGGAGATCTGACTAGTGAACAGGCACTGTCTGCACTGGTATTTGCAAAAGTTACAGGGTGGGGAAAGACTTAGTTAGAAAACAAATCTGGTTTATAACAAGTTTGTTTATAAAGACTCATGGATCAGCTGATCCTTAGACAGACAGGAGTCTGCTTGATACTGTCCCATGTACAGAGAATCTGTGGAGCCTGCCTTTGCAAATCTCACTGAAGGACAAATAGCCCTTTAATTTGTTTTTTTTCTCTCCACCAGATATATCCTATCTCTTCTAGGTCTGTAAGCACATCAGTTCCTCAGCACAAGGTCTTCTTGTGAAATGAAAGAAAGCCTCAGTTGCAACCTTGTGAATCATGTGGTGGCCACATTTAAAGTGCAGTACTTGTACCAAAACACCCCAGAGGCTGCAGATGTGTAGGGACATTTCACCACCACTGCACTCCAAATGCAAGTTTGCTCCTCACTGACTCTGCTCTCTGGCTTTTCATCATCTAAAAACCTTCTAAACAGAGTTTCTCCAATCACAGCTTGCAACATTGAAGTATTTCTTCTTGATCTACCAGACTCACTAGAGACTTAATTCAACTAATGCAGGGCTGGCATTTTTGATTCTAGGTGCCCATGGAGTTATAAAAACAAACAAACAAATCACCCACAGTCTGAAGCTTTTAAACATACCCAAAGGAGAAATCCATGAGTCTCCAAGAGCAGTCCCCATAAAATTGCACTTTATGATCCCTTTTTGGACAGCCTTGGTGAATAAAAGGAAAACAAAACCAAACAAACCACCAAAAAGAAAAAAAAATAAAATTAAACCAACTTTTAGTTAGATATTCACTACTTTAAACCAGTTTTAAGTAAAAAAAAGTAGCAGTATGAATTAGACAACAATGACAGCGTATTTGAGAAAACATAAGTACTTGCAGAACACTATGTTTTAAAGTGAAAAGTGAACTACATCCTTCACCTACTCACCCCATGCAGCTCTAAAGCAATGCCAGCAGCCATTTTACCTCCATAAGACTCTGAAAATATGTAGAATGGGATGGGCTGGAGAGAGAGGAACCACACAATTAATGCACTGGGCAGAAGATACCTCTTCCCACTTCCCAGAGGAACTCAGGCACTGGTTGTTCACCTTTCACAATCAAACACTGGATATTTTTTCTGATTCTAAGCTGCAGGTAAGATTTCCACATCATCCTGTTGTAATTACTGGGGGCAGTTTTGAAGCAGGCACTTCAGTATTTTGGAACTAGAAACAGCTGTGATCCTGTATGCTTCTCAGATAGATTAGTTATGGAGCAGATTATTGTCTAACTAGCACAAAAATTCAAGCCATTACTTCTGAATTGTGGGATATAAGAGGCAGTGGTTACACCTGCACCGACTCCCACCAAATGCATGTTACCTAGGAGCTAACACTGCCCATTTGGAAGGCTGTTCACTTCTGAGATCTGTTTTAAGAAAGGAAAAAAAATAGGATTCAAACCAAGAATTCAAATCACTTACCTGGAATTCTGCTCTAGCTCTGAAGAATTCTTGAAGAAAAACCATCATATCAGAAACAACTGTGGTCAGGTTTTGGGCAAACAAGCTACAATCATCCACATAACTGAATCCAGTGCCCACGGGATTATCCACGAACAAGATGCTGGCTGCCTGCAACTGCACAAGCAGAGAGGTCTGTATGAAATATCACTTCAGCCCCAACACAAACCTTGGTTCTGATGGCACAAATGTTTAAGTGAGACACTGAACCTCTGGCCCTTTTAGAACTTACAGAAAAATTAGGTGCAAGTCCAAAAGAGAAAATGTTGCAGGTAAGAGTTGTTCAGAGTGTAAAGTAAGATCTTTTTTTTGAGGGTTGCTGGGTTTGTGTGAAATTGCTGCAGCAAATGCTGTAGTTGTATAGTTACAAGAGTCCAAACAAAATCAACAGATCAGCACACATACAGCTAGCGTGGCTCACAAATAAAGAGACACAACGTAAGGCCCTTCAGTTTTTTCCATTTGCACAAAGAAAGGCCCCCCAAAAATCCCAGTTTTCCAAGAGCAGATCACCCATACAATCTAGGAAACTCCAGACTTGTTACACTATTCATAGCTCAGAATACAAATACATTTTATTGAATAAAATGTAATTTCCACCTTCCTAGGCAGCCATTATTTGTCTTCCCTTGAAGGCCACACTGGACTTGTAATGATGAGCCATTGGGTCTGTGTTGCCAGCCACACAGAAGAACCTCTGTGACTTTACACACTGAAGCTACCATCTGAAATGACACCTTTCTAGAATCTCCCTGCTCTTGGTTTCCCAGACATCTGCAATTCACAAATTCATCAAATCAGAGTAATAGGTCTATTCTTCAGGTCTTAACCAGGATATTCCTGTAAGCCAATTTATTAACCAGACTATTGTAGGATGAAATACTTCTTGAACTCTAAAGGAAAACTGTCCAGTATATTTTGCATGGCAATCATCTGCTTGCACAGCCAACAAACATTTGTGATGAATAATTAGAAGCTGAAATGTCTACTATACCCAGGTTGTATTCCTTGGTTTCAGTTCTTTGTCTAATGGACCAATCTCTTCAAAGTTCCCATATCCACAGCTTGAAGCTCCTGGACCTCCCTGTGGGGAAATACCACATGACTAATAAGTTCAAAGGCAGCATGATATAGATATGACAGGAGAAAATTAAAAGCAAGCCAGTAAGCAGAATGACAGATTATACGTTTTTTAAAATGGCTTTTGTACTACATGTTAATTTGCAAAGGTGGTCTCTTCCTCATCATCTTTGATTATGTGCATGTGCCATTTCTGAAAGCAGGAATTTAAACAGAGAAGCAACCACCCACTTGTGAAAGCACCTAATGAATAGCAAGCTGAGTGCAGTTTGAAAACCCCTCCCCTCATTCCCTTAACACCAAATGCAAAAGTTGCTCTCTACAGAGGTTTGCAAGTCTTTAGTTTTATTAGCACATACAGTGTGTGCATTTCACTCTGAAGAAATAATTCAGTGAAAAACACTAAACCACCAAGTGATTATATTCAACATTAACCTTTGAAATGTACTGCTGGAGGTGAAGGTGGAACACACATCACTGCCTTTTATCAAACTGTGACTGACTGGAACCAATCTCTAAACAATCAGAGTCTTTCTTACTTGTTTCCATTTAGAAATCTTTCTAAATCTGATCATTTTATCTACTCTCTGAATGTTGTTTAGAATGCAAGATCTTCAGGAAAGAAGCTGTGATGCTACAATGTCCTTGTAGCATCTGGCACAAAAAGCACTTCTATTCTAAAAAAGATAAGGACAACCTCTATTTCTGCAATTTAACTTGATGAAGGGTGAGCAGCTGAAGGCACCCACAACTGCAGAATGATACTTTAATAATTTTTTCCTAGCCTGAATACTTCACTCACCAGGCAAGTCATTTGAAATCAGACAATTATGAATCTCATTTCTGTAGGGCTGCAAGGTACCTATCAGACTGAACCAGGCACAGATGAAGTAAAGTACTGTTAAAGTGTCTTTCACCAAACCTTACCTGAAGCCACAAGATGAGAGGTAACTCTGTGAAGTCTTTGGTTGGGTTATTTGCATAGTAGAGCCACCAGAACATATGTGCCTTACTTCGAACCTGCACATATCCCCACAGCTCTTTGGGCTCCTGGGATTGCCTCAGGACTACACCTGCTGGGTGGGGGGAATAAAAACACAAATCAGCTATGTAAAAAGGCCAAGCTTTGAGCTTTCCACCAGATTTGTTCCAAAACATGACATTTCAACCTTGGGTGTGATAATCAGAAGTGCTTTCAGTTAAAAAAAAATCTGTCAGAAACTTCCTATAGTCACACCCACACACAGAGCCGAGTTATCATCAATAAATGAAGCGTGTAATTAAGTGCTTACTTATCAAGGCCTGACCTTACAGCAGCTGACACAACGGCAGCCCAATCGCTGGGGCGATTTTTTCAATCAAGGAAACATGTAAAGCCTTTTGAAGGCCGGGGCTGAGAGCACAGCCCCGCACGGGTAACACAGCCAGGGCACCCGGGCTCTCAGGGATGCGGCGCTTTGATCACAGACTCTCGCAAGACCAACTAATCTTACAGTCCCCAAGGAGAGTAAACGCAGCACAGAGAGAGGGCACCTCTAAACCAACCCGAGATCTAACGCTAAACTCGGTTAGGTCGGTAGGGTCCTGTCAGCTTCAGCAGCCCCTGCTCCCACCGAGGGTCCCGCCGCCTTCCCACGGGCGGACCTCGGACACTGTCCCTTAATCCGGCGGTCCTGGGGCAGATTAAGGGACGCGGAGTCAGAGGCTCCCGGTGCGCGGGCCCCGCTCCCCCCGCTGGTCACGCTTCTCCCCGAAGGGCT